AAAGCGACATCATTTTTAATAGGAACTGAGAGAAAGACATCTTTCTTCCGTGCAGTCATAACAGCTTCTTGGCGCACACGGAGCGCGGCGTGCCTTCTTATGAACTGAATGGGGTAACCGTTAGCTTGCAGCGTTCGAAAGGTGCGACTCATCTCCTTTCTAATGTCTCTGGGCTACAGATTTTGGCGGTACGATAATACAAGCAACTAACCAAGCTTTACTTTGTATTTCAAAGGTACAAACTTGGAAACTGGGTGTACCGGTCTACCCATGTAGCTCAACGGAAGACGCTTCTTTTAAGTCGCTTTAGCAATACGTCCAGGAATGACAGATTGCCATCGTGTTCAATTTCGCTGGTGAAGTACAGCGAAGGATGCCACCTGTTGAACTGAGCTTGCAAACGATTAACATCGATGCTTGAGTCGCAGATAATAAAAGTATCATCTACCTACATGCAGTATGCATCGAACGAAGAGATTACTGGCTGGTTAAGAAAATACCCGCAAGAAGCGGTCCGAGGAGAGACCCCACCGCCACACCGCCTGTCTTCCTATAATATATTTCATCAAATAAGAATTGTCTGTTGAAATTACACCTCAGAATTATTTCCTTTGGTATGTGAGCTGAAATACCAAAGTCTATGGTCTTTTCGATTATCTCCGTCAAAGAAACTACGTCGAAAGTTAGCTCAGCTAATAGTCACGTATTGTTAACCTACTCACTTGTACACTGTCTATGCACTGTTGGTTTCCATTCTGCTTAGTATTATTGCTTTCCTCTGTAGTTGGTTCTCCACCTGAACGATATTAAATGTTTCCAAACTGCAGCCTAATCTGTACTTATGTTGGGCGTCAACATCTTAGCATTTTAGGCTATGACTTGTGAAAGCATCACTACGATAAGCAAACAAATTTGGGTCTGTGAAAATGTGACATCAGCTTGAATTCACTTCGTACGATATGGTGGACATGTGTGAGCTCCTCCCAGCGGTGAGCACTATTCCCATCCTTTCCGTTCTCCTCCAACTAACTCCAGCAATCCTCTTCTATATGCAAGATAGCCGAACAATCCCCGTTTAGTGTCAATTGGATGATTCGGGTTTATCCAGTTCCAGCAAATAATTCGGGGGGGAGGGCAGTTCTTCAGGATTTGGTGGATTTTCGCCCGGCAAGTGTTTTCCCCCTAAAAGGCCACACATATAAGCTTAGCAACGATGTGACGTAGCGATCGTCAGTCGCTACCGACTAAAGTCACTGCCCTTTGTTTACCCGGATAAACATATCTAATCGAAGGACGTCATTTATCCCTTCTCACTTTTGTGACGCGATCAATCATAGTCAAAAGTCCATGGGCGCAATTACACACCCAAGCAACAAGGCTGCACACCTGGTTGGCCGCATCTAGTTCCGAATTCGCCCATCACTGCGGCCTTCATACGACAGACACCAGACGCCTGCACCTACGGGGGACGATGGGTGGCTTGCGCTTCACCACCCACAGCTCTATCCACACACCCCATATCCAGTGTAAACCTGAAGGAATAAGACTGGGAGGTATGTGGATGGGAGCTAGGTTTCATCAACGGATCCATCCTGCACGCTTTCAACAAGCAGGGAAGAAGTATTCATGTATAACTGGGAAATCGTGTCTATCAGACATACACGAGGCGGTGGCTAGGCCGTAGTGCGTTCCACACTGAGTGCATGGAACCACTTTTTGAGCCTAGCACGGCCACGGGGACTGTGCAATCCGTCCCCCAGAAACGATTCCCACTCTCTTGAAACCAGTAGTCGTGATGGTGGATAACAGACAGGCTGGCTGCTTGAGAACGTTCACATCAGCACCATCCCCATCGGGGATATCAAACAGCCAACATAAAATATGGAGGAAAATGGAACCAAGATTGTGACAGAATATGTAGCAGAATAGCAGAACTGAGCAAATCAAATAAAGTGGAATACTTTTTATCCAGATTTTGAAGAGTTACTTTAAGTGTAAGTCCATATAACCCAACTGGGGTGAAGAAGCGTGACGTATACATCAATCTACATTTATACATTCACGAATCCACTATTTTAACGAAATTGTTGTCCTTTTTACATTTCCCGATCACTTGTTGTCTGGTTACCATGATCTTGGTTTTGCAGACGTGCCACTCGTTTTTTCCTGGCTAACGATGCATGACTGTTCAAGTTCAAAACTTTCTATCCTTCCTTTCTTACTCGTCAATAGGTAGCTAATTTCTAACTTCTTATGCACTATTCCTTTTGTGCACAACCTCCCGAATTATATAACACGATCATGACATTTGTTAATTCGCATCACTGTGGTTAACTGAAGCACCGTCCTAGTGAATTATTATCACGCAATTCACCGTTGATGCTCTGTCCGTCTCACCGTTGACAGACAGCTGGAACTGTTTTGGATCAATGCTGAGCAACATTTGGGCTACGTCGAGAAACCTAGTCGTAAGTCATTTAAGAACATTTAAATTTACTGCTAGGAAATCAGACAATACAATTTCAGCTGCATCGTGTCTTGCTCTTTTGTCCTGAGAATCAAGCGGTACGTGAAGCTTGGTCTGTAATAATAATACTAACAAAAATAATGTACATTTCTCACTATACAGGAAGACCGTGCTCACAGAAAGGTGGTTCGTACTATAGAGTACACTGTGTTTCATTTGCAACTTTAGTGTTTGGAAACGGCATCAGAGCATAACCGGGAGGTTGCGTTGCATTCTGTTACCACTGGATATTCGTTTCGCCGTGTGAACCGGTGTCATTGGATGATAGACAACATGCGTTTGCGTCTACGACCACCTCATGTCATTCCCTCTTACTCAAGCTCTTACCTTTGTTCCAGTTGTATTTCTCGTGCATCCCTTTTGGATTCAGGCCTCGGACACGGTTTTGGGTCAATAATGTAAGCTAGAATGTTATGGATAGCATCGGTGTGAACTGACGTGGGAACCCAAATGGCTACATATCCCATTCTAACTTGCGTACGCCGCTAACCGAGTGTCATACTTCATTTAAACACCACAACGGTGGCACAAATAAGTCCTCTAACTCCCCAAACCCATCCCTCCCCCTCCCTTTTGTCCTCACTATTAACTCACTTTCGCCACATTCCTCGCAATTTCATTACTAACACATCTCCTGACTTACTGTGGTAAAGTAGACGGAAACAGCATTGGAACCTTAAGATTGATGCGTAGCACTTCGGTTCTCTGCTAAACTTGACTCTCCATCCCTTCACTAGGGACCACGTAGCACGGGTGACTTCAGGATAGCGGCTACCCAGCTGCCAGCTAACTCAGTATTAGTTGTCTACCTTGGATTCGTATCAGCCACATCTTACACCAGACTCCAATGTTTTTGATGACTTTGACGAGAATGGGAGAGCAATACAACGCCCACCGACCTTTGCTACACCATTTTTACCATGCGTTTGTCCGTAATCTGAGGCAAATATTGAAATATCTAATATATCAATGTGTCCTGAGTATTTCCGGTAATAAAGTCTAAACAACTGTGCAAACGGTTTTACGCTGAAAAGCAATCTTCAAAACTCGACCATGCTTGCGTTTTGCAATGCGTCATAACGAACAACTTGTAGAAATCTCCGAAGTTCGTTTAAGTTACATATTTTCCGCCGTGAAGTGTGGAACAAATACAAGCACTTCTGGTCTACTGATAGATGCAAATGACCTGACTCAAAAGCGAAACATGTCTCGGCATGTTCAGAAGTATACCAGTTAGTTTAATAACAACTGATTGCTCTACTACCATTCCGCGATCGACTGACAAACAGAGTATGTGGACGACATACTTCTCCTTGGGTCTGATGCATTGGCTACGTAAACACTACTGCACAGACTTGTGCTTAGTGCTACATGCTTCAGCATGTACTTTGCACCTTCAAAGTGCACAGTGCTATTGCAGGACTGGGCCGGCACACCTCCGGTTTTAGCTATTCCCGAACAGCCACTGGAATTGGTGGATCGGTTCATTTAACTTGGTAGCTGTGTCACCTCTGGTGGTCCCATCACTGAGAAGTTACTTCGCTTATCAGCAAGGCCCATGTGGCTTTCCAGAGGCTCAACCATCTGTGGAGAAAGCGGGATATCAGCTTGTCAGTGAAAGGTAGGGTGTATGACGCTGCGGTAATGTCAGTCGTACTGTATGGATCAGATACCAGGCCAGTTCGCCGTGAATAGATTAAACGCTTGGCCGTGTTTGATCACCGGTGCTTGCGGAGAATTGTCCACGTCTGACGGGAATACCGGGTGAGCAATACTGATGTCCATGAGTTGGTTTTTGGCAAGAGGCCTTCTGATGCTTCTCTCGAGTGATTGCTACATCTTAGTCGTTTGCGTTGATTAGACCATGTACTAGGTGTGTCCGTTGATCGGGCTCCTCGGCGTGCATCATACGCCGTGGCCGCACCACGTTGGGCGAAACCCTGAGGTGACCAGTCCATGACGTGGCACATGGTTGGAGACCGTGTCACACATGGCAGTCAGTGGCGTTCCTGCATTCGGTTTCATTCAGCTGGTTGTTAATTTTCGTTCTACTCTTATTATTCTAACATATTTGCTTCCTGCTTCTATTTTCTACATAATTTTCGCACCGGTGTGAGTCATGACAACTGGATCCGCCGTACTTCGGCGCTCGGATCATAGCAGTTCAACTGAACAGAACCGTACTAAACTTATGCCGGAACATTTTAGGTAAGGTTTAACCGGCGTGTACTGTTCGATGAATCATGGGAATTCCCCTAGAGCGTCGGTGTCACTGATCAGCATCCATTCGATCTGGTTGCAAATGTGGTTTCTGTAGCGGTAGAGTACGGCCTTTGATCCAGCTTATCACATCAGCCTTTAGTGATGCTGTGCCTATTTGAAAGACATATCGAAGAAATTTCTTTCCTTTGCGGAAAGTGTTATGTTGCTGCTGACATTTCGCACCCCACGACCGCAACGAGAACACGGAAGACGAGGCAGGACAGAGTTGTATATGTGAGAAATCTGCTTCACTTAAATAGGGTAAAGTAGCAAAGGAAGCACAGCTACTAAAACACGATGGAGCCAAGCAACAACATAGGAGACATTGAATTGCACAAGCGAAAGAGAAGTGGTAGAAGCAAGGACCAATCGCGTATGTCCGAGGAAACCGTATTAGCGGAAGTGGGATCCAGAGATGACATCCATTACGAACGACGTATGATTGCCAACCACATTTCCGAAATGATGCATTTAAACAAATGTCAATAAACAAACTATAGTGAACGAAAGCCGGTAACTAATAATGGTAACAACTCGATGTTATCAAGCGAACATGTGTTTTCAATAATTCCTCTTCAAGCTTGTACAACTGTATGCAAAAAGTACAAAAAACTGACACAGCACAAGGACCGGTAAAATCCTCAGTTTACAGTCACTGGTCACTGTCAACCAATATCCACTAGGACACAGTTGTAATACGTGCACAATTCCTTGGTTCGGACGGAGCAGTTCGCTGGGCCAATTCAAGCACAGCGTGAGAGTGAATCTTTTCTGGACACACAATTGTGGCTCGTATAGTCTGACTGCTAAACTCTCAGCCGATTCAAGTAAGCGCTCTCACAAAATATGTAAATGACTAGTGCGCATCCTCCTAACAGAAGGTATGTATCACAATCCTTGGAAGGCATAATAATCTGCAAGGCTCAACCGTCAGATCATCGTGACAGGCAGGATTCCTCAGGAACGACAAGCCGGCCATTTTGTTTTTCGTAACTTTCGAACAACATAGTTACAAATGATCGATTTCTGGATTCCTTACTTTGGTGGCAAACTGACAAGCCGAGTACAAAAGTGATATGGGTATCTTGGGGTCGGGTCAAGCCATTATAGGTTTACTGCATCAACTGGAACAAAGCGTTGCATTCTACGGTATGTGTGTGTCACCCTCGTGAAACACTGGGTTATGCTGAACTGCCAAACAACCATTTCTCACTATCAGGGAAAAACCTCACGGGGGACTCGGACTGTTCATCCCTGTACCAATGAGCTTGGAACGTGCCCGTTCATTAGTTCTGTATGGTTCAATAGCGCTTCAACGGTCCACGAAAATGGCGAGGCAGCAGCTTATGAGTCGGACGTAGAGTGTACAACCTTACATTGCGACGAGAGAAATCTGGTTACCATGGGCCGAGAAAGCTTATAGTCGGAGCCTACTTTATAGTGGCAATACCGAAAGGGACGGTCGTATAGGTGAGTTAAGTTCTATTAGCTGGTAATTGTTAAAATATCCTTTGGTATCATTCTCGACCTTTGACCAGAATTGAACTACCAAGTCCAGCAAGATCAACAGCTTAGGGTATACCATCTTGTCATCTATCCCGGCATGGGTTGAACGCCAATGGTAATTTCAGACGCATGAATGATCCGACGGGTGGGCTGATGGTGGAATAGTACAAAAGCCTCAAGTGTTCGACGCAGCGGATCACACTAGAGTACTCCATCTAGCTAGGTAGAAGTCTGTGCATCAATCAGTTCCACGAATGGAGGTGCCGATAGGGACAGTCAAGAATTCGACGGTTTTCACATTCCGTATCCGGATTCAAACTTTTACGCCCGGAACTTCAGCATTTTACACTCTCTTAACTGACTGTTGTGGCCTTCTTCCCACTTATCCGTCCCTTCCGGCAAATCAGTTTGCTTCATCGCAGCGCATGGCATCCCACTAACGAAACAAATCGGGCTATATGATCGATGTTTATCAACACGTAGTGACCGAAATTAGACAAAAGACAAAGAGATATTAATAAATAAAAAACTATTGGCACAGTCATGTTGTTGCTGCCGCTGCTGCTGCTGATGGTGGCGATAGTACCGAATGGTGTTGCGCGCATCCCACGTGCAAACCAAATATGGCTGCTGCGGGCTGACTGACCTACTGGACTGCTGTCCGCTTTAAGCAATGAACAAAGCATGGTTGACATGTACACGCACACAAACAAAAGAGCGAGCGTGAGCAATATGAGTAACCAAAAGCGACAGAAAACAATAAGCGACCAAGATTGCTGCTGCAACATGGTTTGGCTTGTGCGTGTGCGCGCCCGCAGTGACAAGGAACAACAGGCGGAGGTCGGGAGACGAGGCGACGAATAGCAGCGGTCACAAGGGGGGGAAGGGTGCGCACCTCGGGAATTTACTGGAGCTGGTGCGGGGCGCGTTGTGATGCGGACGAGACAACACATGTCCTCATCACTGATCCTGAGTGTTAAAGAGAGCGCTACCTTGTGGGTGGCTGTGTGAACAAATTCGGAGGGAGCACAGTTCGCCCACGGCTATTTCAGAAAGTGACACGTACAGGTCTTGCTATATACACGGATTCATATAAGTTAGCTGCTTGCTAAAACCATAGAGCCAGTGCTAGATTTCCTGGACGGAGCGTCCTCGGCAAGCATGTCTGGATTTGGGGCGAAGTCACATTCTGGACCGCTAAACCCGGTGCACAAAAGTGTCGCAGTATTGTTTGGGGTGCCGATAAAAGCTGGCTGGCTGGAATGTCGTCTGGATTGTTTGTTGCCGGATAAGTCCTTTGGAGGTAGGGGTATGGAAGCGTCTTCGGACAATGTGCTGGAGAGGAGGGAAGCACTCGTGAACTTGGGAGTAGTTTCATCCGGTTGGGGAATGCAAGCGCCAACAACTGACACACGAGTGCCAGACGATGTGGTGGCCACAGGTTCAAGAGCAGCCGAGAGCCCAGAGGTAGATCCATGGGGCTGTGGGCGGCCATCTTTCAGGTGGGCCAAAGGGGCAACACATTGAAATATGTGATCCGATGTTGAGGGGGCCTGTTGGAAAAAGTGCAGTAATGGAAAAATGAAAGTAAATTCGCATTTGGCAGTAAGAGTGATTTTCTAAGATAACCAACTCAACTGCACACAGGATTAATGAGTTAGTCTATGCCAGTAGAAGTTGACGGATGTTGGGGTGAGAGATAGTTGATTGAATACAAATCATCAGAGCTCCAGGTAAATCGGTTCAAAGACTGACTGAACGGTCCGGGGTCACGGGTGCTTCCCTCATTGGAACTAGGCGGCGTCCCACAGAAAACCAGCGGATTCGCTCACATGCTTCTGACCTGTCATGAAATCATTAGTGGATTTGAACAACTTGTACGATCTTAGCCGATGCACCACACTCTCTAGTAATGGTGAATGGTGAAGCGCTTACGGAGGCAGAGAGGAAAACAGAGAGAGACAGTGTGGTAACCTCAATGGTCCATGATTCGGGTCACAAATGCTCAATCTGCAGGAGAGATCCGATGTGTGGGTGTATGAGTAAAACAAGGCGTCAGCTGCGAAACAAAATACCCTTTGGTGTGCACCTCACTCAGCCAAACAGATGCATGTTTGTGGATAACCCAAATAGTAAAATACAAGTGCAAAGCGCCAGCTAGGTTGTTGTACAAACACAGCAACAGTGATAGAAGTGATTGTGGGAACAGTGATTGCTGCATCGACAACCACTATGAAGTACGCGCCTAAGAGTTCGGAAAACAGAATGGAAGACATCGCAAGGGTTCTAACACGTAGGGATAGGAGATGCAGAGGTCACGGTTCTTGATTGACTGTATGATCTCGACACGGTTATGTAGAACAACACTAAGAAACTATGGAACCTAAGGTCACAATAGCAAAAGAACGCCCTCGTGTGCATTAAATGTAACTGCATCGCTGTCTGACATAGGCGCTGCAGGCCGGATGGTGGCCTTGAATCAGAGTGTTTACTGGGTGATCAGGTCGAGCGGCGCAATGCAAAGCACAAATGATCTGTGGAGTAGTGGTTCAAGTGTCCGGCCTACATTGTATACACTCCGGGCCCGAGTCTACGCTCTTGCAAGGATTCGTGAGCTCCTGCAGCAGCCAGGTCCGAGTGTAGCCTCTTGTGGCTGCATGGTGGCAAGCATAAGTACGACGTATCTGTATAGTGCCGGAACCCACCTTAAGCGATGTACGAGAGTGCGTAGCTCGGATAGGTTGAAATGGAAGAAGTGGACTCACTGGGTTGCTCATCGGCGGAGGCAGGTGTTCATGAGCAGAAGGACAGGTGGCGATCAGATCAGTCTGCTGTGATGATTGCGTTGAGGGCGACTGGAAGTATTGAACCCTCGCTTGCGCACCGACCAGTAGAGGCTGTAAAGAAATGGGCAGGGGAGCGACAACATGAGTGCGATTGGAAGTAAAACAGAAGGAATGGAGCAAGTGATGCAGTCATGGTCAAAGTGGTGTCGTCATTATGTGGCATAATAATGGTCGTCTGCAGCTAACTGCCGAATCATAGTACAATCAGGAGCAAATGGAAGGCGAAAACGTAAAAATTGGGTGCTTGATGTCTTGTCGGATGACAGAAAGCTGAACGATAGTATTCCGTTTCATATTAGTTGATCTGAAGCGGCCACTCCTGAAGTCCGAGATTGTTGGAGAAGAGTAGCTAAGGGACTAATTCATGATGGTTAGGGGGTCGACTTATATCAGTAACAAGCTGTCAACTATGCCGAGTGGCCAACTAAGCTACTAACTGTGATCCGGTTGGTGCACACAGTTGCTTCAGCTAACTCAGCTGTTTTAAGGAAAACCAACAAGGAGGGAGAAAATAAAGCATGATAAATTTAATAAAGAAGGCATCAGCAGCACACCGGTACGCAGCACCGACGCTTCGCTGTCACGCAACCACCAACAGTCGCGCGTGGGCTAGGGATATTGCGAGGGTCGCCCGGTCCCCTACGCAGGTGCGAACCCGCGCCCTCGGATTACAAAGCAGGTTTGTGATTTTGTAAGACAAGAGGCCGTAATAAAAAGGGAATTCAGAAAACGCTGGACCCACTAAGGTGAGAGAATAGCGGCTACAAAGAGGACATACAATGAAGAGGTGCACTGACTTTTTAACCGCGACTGGGTAGCCAGCCATCGAGGTGACCAATATCGAGGCTCACCTAGCGGGAGACAACATGCACTAACACTAGGCGACCCTACGTGCCTTCGCTACACCATCGGTCGTAGCCCACGGAAGTAAGGGATAAAGCAACGGAACGAGGCAAAGGTAACGATCAGTAGGTATGCAGAAGACACGGCTCAGACAGCGTAAACATATCAGTTTCAACAGATGGCATAATGTAACGCCAGGGAGTATGGGTGAAATCGCGTGGGATATTGATAGATTACACAAAATTAAAAAAGACGGAGCAGAGGCGAGGGCCAAGGCATTAGGTCAATGCGTTAACCTCCAAGTTAGGTAGACCGATCATTGGAATGACAGCGTTAATTTGAGTACCTATATATCTATAAGTGGATTCACGTTCCATATACACAGTAAGCGCATCTTGAATTAGCTCCAAGCACTGACGAAGACAAAATATCGGTGCTTACATGTTTAACAACGCAACACTCTGAGGAGAGGCAATTCTAGGTTTTGGTTGATTTTCGGCTATCGTGCTGACATGATGATTATAGTGGGTGGATTGAACATGATCATAGTGCGGCCCGATTGTACACAACACTGGTGTTTCTTTGAAGCTGGACCCGATACAGTTAGGTACAACGATCACCTTAACCAGAGAGGAGTTAAAAGAACCGGACCGAGCTACAAGCTGCAAACTCGGAGACAAGGAGCTACAAACGTCTCTTGGTGAGAAGGAGCTGAGAGTTGTGGTTCAGGCCGACATTGGATGTTCGACTAAGGCTGAAACGGCGTCAAAAAGGGGTATCCAACACGTGTGACCCATGAAGCGTGCATTTGGACGACTCGACCCACTTCTCGACTCATACCTACGTCCTCATGTGGAGTACGCAATACAGGTGTGACAGCCATAACTGAAGAGAGATCTCAGAGATCTTGGAGATACCCCAACGCCAAGCAACCAAGAATGGCAAAGCTTTCCACAATTTGCTGTATGAACGAAGGCTTCGAGTGCTCGGGGTCTTCAGCGAACAATATCGACGAATGCGCGGGGAGATAATTTTGACTAAACAAATTAATAACAAGCAGAGGCCACGATTAAACTTTGCACAATAATATGCCTCGACTGGGAATCGAACCACGGGCATACGGATTACCGGTAATCCGATCTGTGCTCGCACGCTGGCCGAGTTCAAATCCAGAGTTGACCGCGCAATCATTTCGCTGCACCACATCACATGACTCATCACCCATGGATAAACACGTGTCCAGTCAACTCCCAGAATACGTCCCACGTTTCTCACCACCAGGATGCGATACGATTTGCTGTCAACGTCTCATTTGTCGTCGTTCTATGTGGATTTACATTGAATTTACAGATTATACTACGTATACTGCAGTGAATCGGCCGATAGCCGAGTGGTTTGCGCGCCTGACTTGCCTGGTCGCCCGTTCTAATCCGCGTAGGGGCGTGCTCCTCGCGGTCTACTCAGCCCACGCGCAACCGGTGGTGGTCGCGTGACAGTGTAGTGCCGTTACAGCGTACAACTGGCAAGTCATACTGCAGTGAGTCCACCGGTGTAAACCTAATTTTGCGGACAACTTTTCGCATTAATTTCCGACACAGCACCCGCCGGAGGGTGACTTGGCGCCCACCAGCCTCGAACCAGTCTTGGACGCAGATCGATCACATTGCTATTAGTTACCGCTGGAGAGGCTGCATCCAGAATTGTCGCTCGGTTTGGAGCACATGTGTGGACATCGATCATGCACTTGTATGTGCTGACGTGCGGATGCGCTTTGGCGGACGCCCACGACGACGCTGTGAGCGCATTGACACCAACCAACTGACAAAGCCAGCTGTTCTGAATGCGTATCAAAGTACGCTGACATGCGAGTTGAGCAATCGCTCACTGGAGACAATTGATGGTCACTGGTCACATGTTCGCCAGACCTTACTAGCAGCGGGCAAATCCTCATGTGGTATGTCTAAATGCCAACATGGACATTGGGTCTCTTCTCGGTATCTGGAACTTATCGACGCTCGCTGGCAAATCCCGGCTGGAAGCGAGCACAATGAAACTCGCAAAGAGCTCCGGGCAAAACTCCGCAGTAGCCTGAAGAGAGACCGCGAATCTTGGTGGTGGACAACTTTTCTGTATTTTTAGTCTTCACCGCAACCATTCTATGGGAGCTGTTAAGCTCTAGCTTTTTACCCAAGTAAAAGTATTGTACTCGTGAATACTTTCACATCACACATAACGTCGCGATGCCTGGGCCGCTAGTAACATACGTCAACACACTGCCAATGTGTCACAGTGAAGTGAAATCCCCCACGAATAGGATCGTCTGAGCATACGCGTACTTAGACGCATGTTGGAAAAACCCACAAACACTGTTACTCACTTCTCATTTTACCATCCCTTCTGTGCCGACGTCTAACAGTTTTACGTAGTGCGTATGCGCTTAGATGCATACTACTTATAGGACGTTTAGCGCCGGTATCTGATGAGACGCGTACACCTTGTGAGTAAACTGGTTTCAAACTGGACAAGTCAAACTAGGTTTGATGTATCCGGGTAGGTGCGTTTTCAGTGGTTCACTATCAATGCGAGTTGGAAAACACGTGAAATGAATGTATCAATACAAATGAAGTGTTTAATAGTAAATGCCCGAGCACATCACTGCAGCTACAACTGAATATGCTATCATGACTTTCGTTGAGTCAACGATCAAGCATGGCAAGTGTGGTAAGAGGGAAATACTGAAGGATGCAGTCCGAGAGAATACGACACTAAATTTGGATTGTGTTAGAGAAATAGATACTGATTTTGATAAATTACCAAGTTACAGAATGGAAAAGGCTGTTTGGAAACTTGAAGAGAAAACTGGTACAGGCGTCCAGAAGCTCGCTGACAATAATACCAACGATGGCTTCCCTAAACAATCCCCTGCTTCGGGGAATAGATTGTACGGACAGATCAACGTGCATTATTTTTCAAGCAACCCATGGAAAATTGCTGGGGAACAGCGGAGCCAGTGAGGCAGAATGCATGCAGTCACGAATTTGAAGATCAAATTACCGGGTACTTTAAGCATTCTAAGTGTGAGGGTATGGAAAGATAGCCTTCTAACCTTACAAACTGTTTTGGTGACCTGTCTGGACCAATACAGGTTTTGGGGCAAAAAGACTTCTAGTTATTTGACAGCCGGTGACATGGACATGAGATGGCCACTCATAGACAATGGAGAAGTGGCATACAAAACAGCATATAGTTGCTTCTCAGTATGAGGAAAGGAGAAGGTTACATCGTAGCATTTATATGTATTCAGAACGAGGAGACTGAGACGACAACCATAGTACAAACTAGGACCTCTTTGAGGAATAGATATTTCAACAATCAGATCAATACATTCCAAGAATACATTGTCAGCATACTTACATCCAAGTTAGGATGGTATGGGAGTTTCCAATGTCCAAAGAAAATAGAAGGAGAGAGGGTATCGCTCCCTGTAAGATACCATCATCAGAGAAAAACGTAGATGACTTTGTTCCGCTAACCCGGGCAAATTGAATGTGGCTTGTAAAATAGTCTTTGAGCACATTGCAAATATTTGTCTAAACACTTCACAAGCAAAACACTTGGACTGAATGGACATAGGTGGTGTTGGCCGCCCAAAAACACTACACTCCACGACTGGTTTCATGCAAAGCCACCGAGTCGCGGCCGGAAACGCTTGGCACAACGCTTACTGACCAATCGGATGGTCATTTTGAAGTACTCGTCGTGTGATTGAGTTGCAACGCGCAATCTCAATGTAATGGACCGCGATTCACATTATAGTGAATCATGGTCATTCGGCCACTGGGACCTCAGCAGATGAAGCAGATGGATATTAACTTAGGTGCATATATTTCGGCTAACATCCCAAGGGCCCTGTGTCCGAGTGACTGTCATCTCCACCTGATGAAAGCAAATAAATTCGAAAGTGGTCGTGGAGTTCAATGTTTTCTATCCAACTGCTTCATCAGTTATGGACCTAGTGATCAAATTGATCAAGGTTCACTTCAAGGAGAACCGCGGTCCACATTGCGATTGCGTGTCGCAATCCATTCACACACAACGAGTGCTTCGAAATGACCCCTCCAATCGCTTGGAGTTCATTCCACGCACAGAACAAAGCAGAGGTTAGTGGTGATTCGGGGTTCGTTACTGAAAGGCGCTTAAAACTTCCA